GGCATGATATGACATCAAGTAATTATACATTAACAATAACTGGATCACTTTATGAGCACAATTTACTGTTTACTGTCACATTCACACGTATTCACACTACTTAGTGTTCTATGTTTTTATATTATTGTTCCCTTTGCTTCTGAGTGGAACATAGGAAAGGTTTCAACAGCTCATCTCCATTTACTCTGTACTATTTAGTCCTTTTCAGCTGGCCCTACGATTGCGTACAGTCCCAAATCTTCTCCTCTCACGATCTCCTCCATGTTACCAGCAGATACCTTACTCATCTCTTCCCATTCAAGTTATACTCGAAGAATATGTCTGAGATGTAATTCGACATTCTCCGGCATGTTTGGTCAGTTCGTTTCTGAATTTTCTTCTTGCTGATTGTCTCACGCCATTTGGTCTTCGGGATCGAACTAACAAATGCAGAAGCTGTCGACAGAAATTTGCACTGGTCTGTTTGAGATGCATTTTGGGACAAGTGTTGTGTTGAAAGAATCCGAATTGTGTTCTTTACGCTGGCTGAGTTATTTCTCAAGATTCTACAAGTGATATCAGAGTGATGAAAGTCTGTCTCTCCTTTCTGATCCTGGCTGCTTTTGGCATCCTCAAACGTGCCGACCACCAGTCGTTGGGACGATGCTTCCTAGAAAAGTGAAGAAAGTAACCACTTTCAGATTTCTCCCTGATTGGCGCTAGTTGTTGTTGTCGACTGGCTGGCTGGTTGGTTTGTTATCGTCATCACCTCCATCTTATCTTTATTCACTTGAAGTCTTGTCTTCTCTGCCAGCTTCTTGCAATTCGCCAGTAAGTCTCCCAGTTTGCGTTTTATTAGACACAAATCTTCCCCGATGTCCAGCTCTTCTGAAGTCTTCCTATCGGTGGTCCAACGTATTCCTGTCTTCTCACTCCCCACGCATAGTCTAGTGTATAATCCACTCCACCACAATCAAGAATACCATTGGTGATGATAGTCAACCTTGTCTTGTTCCTGTATTCAGTTCAAGGCCAGGTTTCACTGAGTTTTGTGTTGTGAATCACCTGACTGGCAGGCGGCGGCAGGTACTGTCATATAGCCAGCTGTGGAATGAGGTTGGTTGAGATTTGGGCACTGTATGTCATAGTGTTGAAATAGTTCCTAAATCACTTCTCAGCCGACACTGTCTGCCAAAGATTTTTTCGGCGTTTACGAAGTTAAGGTAGAGTTTTGATCGGCATTTTATGCTCTCTTCGATGATGACGTGTAGAGTTGCAATTTGATCTTATCATGATTTTCTTTTCCTGAATTCCGCTTGTCCTGGCACCCTGGCAGAGTTCTGCATGTAGTGCATCTTTTGTTCTCTCCAGTATGGCATTTTAGTTGGTGTGGATAAGAGCACAATTTTCCGTCATTGGTAGTTTCACCAGATAGCCTTTCTTCCAATCAGTAGGCACCTTTCCTACCTTCTAAACTTCCTAAAACATTTGGTGTCATTATATGCGTCTCAGTCTGTAGGTCCGTTTTCAGTGCTTTAGTGGAAATTTCATCTAGTCCTGCTGCCTACCCGGCCGGGCTTCAGTAGCTTGATCGCATCCAGATTTTCTGCTTATGTTGAAAAGCTGTGTCCGTTGTCAAGCAATTCTATGAGTTATGTTTGTAGTATTTCTGGACGACTTGCTGGTGATGTTCGGTTATGGTGTTGTTTGAAGTGATCAGACCATTGTTTTATTGGTCCCTCCTCCTCGGTAATTAGACTAACTTGACCATCTTCCCGGATAGAGGCCTGGTTATCTAGTATAACGTTTTGAGATCTCTTTCACCTGCGACCAACCTTTTCTGCTTCAGTTGCCAGTCGTTGTGTCATAGAATTGTCTTTTTTGTTTCCCAGCACTTTTCTTCACTTCTCTCTTTATTCAGTGCAATGTTCATTGAACTCAGCCTGTCTTTCTGTTACCCATCTCTGCATTGAGTCATCTATCTTCTGTTTCACTAATCTCCTCTGTTCTGTTAGCTCCCAGGTGTCCGTTGAAAGCCATTCCTTTACGTGCCTCATATTTCTTCCCAATCTGAACGGTTGTAAACGCTTCCTTGAACATTACTTTTATGGAGTTCCAATGTTCTTCCTTACAGGTTTCCTTGGTTACGCCACGTAATTTCTCATACTTTTCTTCACTCGGTAACTTGCCTTGAATAGCACTTCTCCTTCCCTTTTTATTATTGCAGTTTTCCATTTCTCCTGGGTGAATTTCGCATCACGTGTTTGATGTTAATTCAGTGAATAAAGATTCAGTGATTCCCCTCCCCCCCACCTCTTTCCAATAATCTTTACAGCACTTTAATACTCTAACCCTATCTCGATCTATTGTGTAGTTCCACACAAGTGAATGAGGATATTTCCCCACATTATTTAACCTAGTGGATTCTTTCATTTTGTATCTAACCAAATCCTCAAGTTCTGATAACCGAACTAACTCCAGTCAACTAATCTGATTTCACTGTCACTACGTAGTAGGTCTACCAGATTCTGAAGCGGCCAGAGTTTATCTTTAAGGGGTTATTCGATTTAGATGGCACATCAGTTCCACTGCTTACCAATCACCGAGTCCTTGCTCATCGAATTCAAAGCAAACACATCTGCCTCAGATATATACGATAATGTAGACGGCTACCTGTGTAGCCAAACTTTCGAAAATCCTACTCCTAAAAGTCTGATTATTTTCTTCTCTAGTAAGAGTTTAGTATTGTTCATTTGTCGTCACATAACTCTCATTCAAGATTGGTCATTAAAGGTGATGGAAGCACTCTGTAGGATTAATCACATACAGCCTAAACTATGCGTACAAAAAACAACACAATAGACTTCGACCTTCCTTCACCTACCATAAACTGACAACTTGACCTATTTAAATGTGATTGGTCATTAGAAGTATGTACTTTTGTTTTATATGACTGAGGAATTTTCATGCAAATGAACTGTGATCAAGATTTGACCTGATAGTTGCAAAATAATTGAGCACCGAGTGAGAAGTAGACATTTATAAAGTTTCAAGTATTGGTTTTGTAGGGATTTTGTTTGATTGCATGGAGGATTTCATCATGAGCTGACATCAGTTAGAGAACCACAGAAAAACCTGGGAGTACTGGACAGCTGTTTCGTCCTAGTTTGGGACTATTCAGCAGTACGCACCCACCGGGATTCGAACCCAGGACCTTCCGGTTACAAGGCGAGCTCGTAGACCATTGAGCCACTGGGACCCGATCCGATTGACCAGTAGGGTACAGCAGGTTGAAGATGAGGCAGTAACTCATCGAAGAAGACATTGCGAAGTGGTCGCGCTATATCGTGAATTGGCAGAAGTTAGAATTCAAGGACCATCGGATCGGGTCCCAGTGGCTCAATGGTCTACGAGCTCGCCTTGTAACCAGAAGGTCCTGGGTTCGAACCCTGGCTGTGGGTGCGTACTGCTGAGGAGTCCCAAACTAGGACAAAACAGCTGTCCAGTACTCCCAGGTTTTCCTGTGGTTCTCTAACTGATGTCAGCTCATGATGAAATCCTCCATGCAATTTATAAAGTTTATCAAGTTTTCCAAAGAGGTTGAATCCGACGAGAATGATTTGGCGTTCCTGGACTGTTTATTGCAAAGAAAACTAGACGGTAAATTTAAAATAAACATTTTCGGATAGCCGACAAATTCGGATAGATACCCAGACTACTATTCAACACACCCCTTAACCACCAAAAGTAACTGTGGCCAAGAATCTAATTAACAGATCCAAACGTCTAGTTACTGAGGAGGAAGAGATTAGCAAGGAACTAAAATTGGTTCAGTCCACTCTTGAACCAAATAATTATTCTTGAACCTGCAAAAAAAGATGTTTAAAATGTGAAGATCAGGATGAATCGAAACCTGCTACTAAGAATTGGGTTAGTACAGCGGTGATTCCTTTCCCCAAAGAAATATCCTATGAGATTAAGAGAATCCTTAACGATCATGATATAAGAGTGTATTTTCGTGCAACTAACACCTTACGCTCATTACTGGTGAAGGTAAAGGATAAAATAGAACAAAAAAAACCAGCAGAATTGTGTACACCAGATCAATTGTGGGGATTGTAACGCCGTATATGTAGGAGAAACTTCCAGAGAGGTAAGTATAAGGGTGAAATAGCATAAACAATGTCTAAAGGTGGTTCCAAAGACCTCTGCAGATTTGAAGAAGCTAGAAAACAAGTAAGCGATTGCACTGTCCTGCGTTCGATAGAAACGGGACACAAAATCGGCTTTGATAAGACTAAGGTTCTACAGAAAGGTTTTGGTTCATATAAAGAAAGACTGACTGCAGAAACCCTGCATATATGGGTGAATCCCAACAGTTTTAACAAACGTGAAGGTGTGATGTTAGCCGATGCATGGCAAATCCTGACTAATAAATAAATAAAAATTGCATATGTATCAACAATTAATCATACTTGGTCAAAATTTCGATTGTCTACGTTTTCTTATGGAGAGGCTTACAAATGTTTCATGACTGTTCACCCACGCACACCATTGTATACTGCATATACACATATATTTTAACAAAAGTAGACTAATTTCGAAAGTCTGAGGTCAAATTTTGATCACAGTTCATACAGTTTTGTTTATTATACCTGTTGATATCTGTTTCATGACTCACATGATTGGACAAAGTTTTTAAAACAAGAGATGTTCCTTTTACATATAAACCTCTGTTATGTTAATTTCGATTAATTTCCCTGAAGAAGTTCAAACTGACCAGATTGCTGAACGAAACGTTGGAATTAATCATTTCAATTTCGCTGAGATTTTATGAATATAATTTTATAAATTTTCATGCAGTTCATTATATTTTATTATTATTGTTAACCATGTTAGTTGTAAAGCGATTAAAAGAAGAAACTACGAAGTGACGATAGCATCATTTCTTGAAATTTGTCTTCTAAATGGTTTATTCAAATTCTTTGTTTTCTTGTGTTTGTTATATTTTCTTCTAATAGGCGTTTTCATCATATTCGCTAACTGTATCCATCATACAAAGTTGAATCGTTTGGAATATGAATGGGGACCATGTTATCCAATATCACAAATACCAAGAACGGTAACAATTGTAAACAGTTTTATTTTGTATTGTTGTCGTGTAGGGATTTGATCGATTGAACTGATTGATCTACTACTAGACATCGACTGACAGTGGTATGAAGTGTTAGAGTGAATTCCTAAATACTGATGTCTCGATATCACAAGGTGTAAGGAGAGATACGTCCCGGGTAGATTGATTGATTGATTGATTGAGTGATGGTGGTATCTTTTATGTCACTGCGACAAATCAAACCAATGATCGGTTTGTTGTTGAATTGAGTAATCTAAACGCATGTCGACTTCAACTAGCTCTGACCTAGCCACCGTTATCTGCTGACCAAGGAATAGAGAAGACAAATTAAACAACTTTAAGAAAATAAAGGCATAATCCTCGTCTGTCTTGATAAGGGCAATGGGATTGTGGTAATGAATAGATCCGACTTTAATGAGAAATTGACAGACATACTATCGATCAGACAACGTCACATTCTTCAAATCACCCAACCAGTAAGACACAATGGAAAGCCTCCGTAGAAATTTGCTGAAGAGGATGCAAGAAGAAGAGTCACTCATCAAAATCGGAGGTATATGAGCGAGTAAAGCCATGCAGTTTGGCTATTCCAGGACTGTATGTACTGTCTAAAGTGCATAAAGGTAATTCCATATTAGTTTGTTTATTAGATATATCACCCCGTGAGTGAAACAGTATTATTTACTGGATGACAAAGTTTCGAACAAAACTTATTACCGTTCATAATCATTCCATCAATTATAATCACACAACCTCGAAACTTGAGTTTCACAGTTTTCGTTGTTTTCTCCTATTTGTCGTCGTAGGGAGCTGGTATTGGAATTCTCCAGACGTCAGGGTGGACAAATGTTGAATCATTCCTGTTACACGTGTTGATTCGCAGTTGATTCGATAAACAAAGCTTCTGTTATAAATCTCTCCCTCAACCCAGCTGTTACATTAGTTTTTAAAACTGTCATGTTGTCCCATTATTCTATGCTGTATGGTTGTGTGTAATTGCATGTAGTGAGTGGTATAGCTGAACTATTCTCTAGATTTCTTATCTTATTTGGGTCAACTAATCTAGATTTTGCTGCTAGGTTTTTATGCTCGACTAATCTGATTGCACCTGTTATACTACTTTGACCTATGTATTTGACCTGACAATCATTGCAGGGTATCAGATAAACTAAATTGTTTCGTTTAATTAGCTCCACAGGATTGATCCTTTAGCCGACAAAGCTTGTTTCTAATTGAGTTTGTGGGTAGTCTGAATGCCAGCCACTTTTATTACTGCCTTGTTAAAAACTCTGAGTAAGGTTCCTGAAGTTCCTTCTTTTTATGGAATTACTACTGATGATTTAGATTCCTTATTCCGAATAAGATAAGAAATCTAGAGAATAGTTCAGCTATACCACTCACTACATGCAATTACACACAACCATACAGCATAGAATAATGGGACAACATGACAGTTTTAAAAACTAATGTAACAGCTGGGTTGAGGGAGAGATTTATAACAGAAGCTTTGTTTATCGAATCAACTGCGAATCAACACACGTGTAACAGGAATGATTCAACATTTGTCCACCCTGATGTCTGGAGAATTCCAATACCAGCTCCCTACGACGACAAATAGGAGAAAACAACGAAAACTGTGAAACTCAAGTTTCGAGGTTGTGTGATTATAATTGATGAAATGATTATGAACGGTAATAAGTTTTGTTTGAAACTTTGTCATCCAGTAAATAATACTGTTTCACTCACGGGGTGATATATCTAATAAACAAACTAATATGGAATTACATACTACCACAGTGCCCAAGTTTTACACATATATGCATAACAGGAGTGTTCCATTTCGACCGATCATAGACATAGTTAACTCACCATACTATCAGATCACGAAGTGTCTAGCTAGCTGAAATATCCTTGAACCAGTAAGAAGGCACATGACAAACTATATAGCCTTAGTGATGTATTTGATTTCATCGGCTCAGTGAAAGATTTCAATGTGTTTGAAAGACAACCGTTTTCACTAGATGTCATCTGACTATTCACAAGCATCCTCTTGACTAAAACAATATTGATTCATTATCTGTGGTATGACGGAAAATCAAAGGAGAAAGTTAAAAAATAGAGTTTTAGTTAATTTCCCAGAACAGATCTTTCATGTAGCAAGCTAACAGCTAAATCTATTTTGTGACAACTGGTGACGCTGCCCAGTTGCTTAAGTCACCTTAGATGGAGTGGAGCATGAATTCAGAGTCATTTGACTAAAGCCTGAGGGCTTCAGCCAATGTTCTATATGTTATTTACATTTGAAAGAAGCGTAGACGCCAGGTAGTGGCTGGTGTCATTTATCTAACCCCTAGTTTTGAAGCAGACTGAAATATTTCAGTCAGATTTGCAGTGTATGACCATCATATTTGCTGGAGCTTGCGATCATGGTACACTCTGAATTGTTGTGATTAGATTATCAGAGGCAGTCAACAGGAAGCCTAAAAGCTACATTTCGTGTCGGTCGACATTCATCAGATAGGCATATCTGCATTCTTCAAAGGAACTTATGTCATTTTTGAGATTCGAACCTATAACACCTGGCGAGGCAATCAAGGATGTTACTACTGAGCTTTTACGGTGTACGACTGCATTGAATACTTGGTTTAGACGCCGTCATGCTTATAGTCTTTGGTGCTGGTACAGACTGAGGTTTAGATTGCTTTAACCAGTTTTACTGTTTAGTATCTGTTCTTTTAATTCATACAAGTCATTTTCACAATTTGTCAATTACTTATTGTATTTAATGAAAAATTTAAAATTACCTCCTTTATTATTTTTTTTGTTTTCTCTTTGCAGTTATACATTCCAGAGATAATCAGTGTTCATCCCCTCTGGCCAGTATTAGTTAGTTGGATATCATCGTTTGTATTTTTTGTCGCTTCAATTATTTGGATTATACTTACACAATTAATGACTTTTGAAAATTCTAAAACGATGATTTAAACACTTTGGGGGATTTTTTCTTTTTGCGGTTTATTTTGATGTCTGAATAAATAGCGAATTCAGTTTCGCATTTATATATATACGCTCTAACTGATATTTCGTCTGTACCCTAACAATTTGAATCAAGCGATTGCTCGTTCTTTCAAGGTCACTTTTTGTTTGAGTGAATGTTGAAAATTGCGCGGCAAATTTGTTCACTGCAAAATAATCTTTTCTTGTTGAAATGTTAACTTCTGTTTATTTGTTTGTTTTGGTAAATACGAAAATTTGCATTATGTGAAATTTTCTCTATTTTGATTTTGCAGAGGCTGTTTTATTTCAATTGGAGATTTGTATTCAATATGTGGAAATATGTTTGTATGTACTAATGTAATCTAACCTCGAAACTTCACTTTTCATAAAAAAATATGTTTCAGTTACAAGTAAAAATAAAAGTTTATGAATGATTGCTATTGTATTATTGTTCCATTGGCTTCCGAGTGGGACATAGAGCATCAACTACATATACCCACTGTCTTCTATTTTTTCCATCCCATTCAGTTGCCTGACCCCACAATTATTGCCCGAAATCTCTCATCTCCCACTTCCAAAACGATCTATTCCATGTCACCTTCACAATGACCTGATTCTATAGCATCGCGTGTAGATGACAAACTGTGGCTGATGATTTTTCAGGCTTTCCTAGTTCAACTGGATTTCCCAGTGGTCGAACAGATGCACTACGGTGTTCATTTCTTCTGATTACCTTGATTTCTCAAGATGATTGTTCGATGTATATCGCATCACATTCCAAGCATTTTATTTTCTAGACACAATTAGATAGAGAATCTTTAAGGATTCGATCTTTTACATGTACAAAGTTACTCTAAAGTCTTCATGCATGTCTGGTGTTTTGAGAAAAACTCTGATGTCAAGCTTATTGAGTATTCTTCTGATATCGTCTGATGTCTCTGGTGGTCTATATGGAGTGACAACTGTTGAGGTCCATGTTTTCGGAATACGTGTTTTCGGGCATATTTAATGTCGGTGTTGATTTCGTTGATGAGATTCTTTGGGTAGTCATTTTGCTTGAGAATCTAAGTCATGTTTGATATTTCCTCTTTTTTTTCTATCTCATCCGTTAACATCAAAGAGTGTGATCGTCTAAGAAGACTTGAAACAACTGATACTTATGCGCTAATGGGGTGTGATGAACCGAAGTCTAAATATTTGTTGGAGTGGGTTTTCTTCCTGAATTTAGGTATATATACTAAAATGTCCGCTTTTTCCCCCTCTTAACTAGACAGGCAGTCTAGAAATGGTAGTTCACCGACGTCTGATTTCGCTTCCGAAAGAATTACATTTCGAAGAATATAGACTGTTATGATGCTGAATCTTTGTCTCGAGGTAACTGCTTAACTACTGAATAATGCCCACTTAACTGGTAAAGCAGAACACGCGAGAATCAGCGGTAAAACCAGAATCATTCATTTATGAAAAAAGTGACTGTATTTATACAAAAATAAGGTAGACTGGAAATCAACCAATCCGGTTGGGAGTTTGGAATTGTGCAAGCGTCCAGTCAGAAAGCAGAAACAAATGCATGTCAACGACATGATAATAACTTGATAATTGCATGTGTTTTGCCTCTTCCTAACACCTCCTCTTTTAAGATAAGGCTACCGGTAGCTTTCGTATCGCGGAATCACTTGTAGGCACTTTGGCGGTCTTGGTTGTCGTTGTGATCTCCTTGGCTGCTGGGACTTTTTGCATTTGTTTCGACTATTTTGGCCATGTGACGTTTTCGGATCCGTCTTATCCATCAGTAGCTCAAATTGTACATTGGCGAACTTGGAATCGTTCAACTGTTTGCCAGCTGGTCTATTTCTTATTTGATTGGCATGCCTGACGCAAATAAGGTCTCCAATCTTGACCTTGTAAATGACACGGCCTTTTCTTCCAACGATCACTCCAGAAACCCATGGGCGATCTCTCCGTATGTAATCATGAACCAGTACCAACTGACCAACCACGAAACTTCTTCGCTTGGTGCCATGACGTCTATTGAACCAAAATTCACTATTTCGACCACATTTGCTCCGTCTTGATGGGATCGGGATAATTGTATACAATGTAGTACGTAATCTTCTTCCAAACATAACTTCTGCGGGAGATGTTTGATTTAGGCATGATGGGTTGGTTGTGGTTCGATAAATGAAGAGGAAATTGTGCAATACATCCTCTATCGATCCCTCCCCGTTTGACTTTTGAAGTGCGCGCTTGAGTGTATCAACAAAACGCTCTGCTTGTCCATTTGACTGCGGATGGTAAGGCGGGCTGCGAATATGCTGAACGCCTAGCCGCTCACAAAACTGTTTAAATTGTTCAGCTGTAAACTGAGGTCAGTTATCGGAAACGATGATCTCTGGAACACCAAATCTGCTGAAAAGCTGAACCAACTTATTTAATCTTATCGTCACTGTGGTATTTTGCACAATGAAAACCTCCGGCCACTTGGAATACTCGTCGATTAACACGAGAAACTGTTTGTCATTGATTGGGCCGGCAAAATCTATGTAGATTCTTGACCACAGTTTTCCTGGGTTGGGCCACGGCTGTGGGTCTGTTTTGATAGGCATTTTCAAAGCCTGAGCACAGCGCGAACATGGGCGAACCATCGCTTCTAATTCACGATCGATATTTGGCCAGTAGACGTAACAGCGTGCCAACGATTTCATACGGCCAATACCAGGATGCGTAAAATGTAGTTGACTCATGACTTTTTGTTGGAGACTTCGAGGCACGACCACACGTTCGCCAAACATAATGCAGTCATTGACCAGGGATAACGAATGTCGTCGTTGATAGAACTGTTTTAAATCTGGACAATCAATACGCGAGGGCCAGCCACAACGCAGATACTGTTGAACTGACTGTAATGTCGGGTCACGCTGCGTCTCTCGTTGAACCATGTCGGCTGAGACAGGTAAAGTGTTTATTGCCGTCATCAATACGTGGCACACGTCTTCATCGACAGAAACGCCGGCGATCACAGCGTCCTCCTTTGCGGGCTTGTTATAGCTGAGTAAACGCGAGAGGACATCTGCATTCCCGAAATCTTTTGTAGATTTGTACTTGATCTGAAAGTCGTATCCTAGTAGCATAGTCGCCCATCGTTGGAGTCGATTGGCTGTATAGACTGGAATACCTTTCTTGGAGCCAAAAATCGATAATAGTGGTTTGTGATCAGTAAAAAGTGTGAACTTTCGGCCAAGCAGCATTTTGTGGAACTTTTGAATCCCAAACATAATCCTTTTCGACCTGACTGTAATTCTGCTCTACCTTTGTCAAGGTTCGCGATGCATATGCTATTGGCTTTTCAACACCGTCTGGAAACACATGTGAAATGACAGCGCCAATACCATAGTTGGACGCATCTGCAGCTAATGTTATATCCAGCTTTGGATTGTAATGTGTTAACAGCAGGTCAGACTGGAGTAATTTCTTGACCTTGATGAAAGCTTGTTGGCATTCTTCTGACCAGTTCCATTTAGCATTCTTCATGAGCAACTGATTCATTGGGGCCCTGAGACGATGTAAATCTGGCAGGAACGCACTATAGTAACTGATCATCCCCAGGAAGGACTGCAACGTACTGAGATTATTAGGGGCAGGCATCTGTTGAATTGCTGACACACTGGAGGGGTCGGGTTTGCGACCATCTTTGTCAAAAATGAATCCCAGGTACTTCACTGAAGTCATGAAAAAATTGCACTTATCCGGACGTAAATGGAAACCGGAATCACTGAGTATTGTCAGGACTTTATCCAACCGATTGAATTGAGTTTCTCCTGTGACTATGATATCATCGAGGTAAACGGCCACTCCCGATACACCAGCTAATATTGCATCCATTATCTGTTGGAATATAGCAGGAGCAGGTTTAACACCATATGGAAGTCGCTGGAACTGATACAGTCCTTTGTGAGTGTTGATTGTCAGAAGCTCTTTAGAATCATCTTCGACCTCGATCTGTAGGTATGCCTCAGCTAGATCAAGTTTACTGAAGTATTTACCGCCATTCAGTTTGACAAATAGATCTTGCGGTACTGGTAGTGGATACGGTTGATCTTCAAGGGCATTATTGAGTCCTGTTGAGAAATCAGCACAAAGTCTGATGGTACCGTTTGCTTTCTTGACAACCACTATGGGGGCTGCCCAGGATGAGTAATCGACTGGCTTGATTACGTTCAACTTTTCTAAACGATCCAGCTCTGCATCAAGGGACGATAATGCGGCATACGGTACTGGGCGTTTTGGTCTAAAAACTGGTTTGGCATCAGGTTTGAGGTATAGTCTGGCTTTTTGTACGGTACAGCAACCCAAAGACTCTTGAAAAACGGCAGCGTGTTTGGTGTGAAGATGACTGATGAACTTTGCGGTAGAGTTCGGATGCATCAGCATCCCCGTCGCCAATTTTTATGATGCTGAATCTTTGTCTCGAGGTAACTGCTTAACTACTGAATAATGCCCACTTAACTGGTAAAGCAGAACACGTGAGAATCAGAGGTAAAACCAGAATCATTCATTTATGACAAGAGTGACTGTATGTATACAAAAATAAGGTAGACTGGAAATCAACCAATCCGGTTGAGAGTTTGGAATTGTGCAAGCGTCCAATCAGAAAGCAGGAACAAATGCATGTCAACGGAATGATAATAACTTGCTAATTGCATGTGTTTTGCCTCTTCCTAACATAGACAGTCTTGCAAGTAAGGAAGAAGAAAGAAAAATGGAGGAATTGCAGCACCTTCAAGTATGCGATAACTTCAGTAACCGAAAAGGTGGAGCGCTTTCCATCAAAACAGGATCTTATTTCCTGCTCGAAGATAAAGAGTGTAGGAAGGCAACCATCTTGTCTGTGTTCCAGTACACATTGAATTCCGAAGTCAGCTGGCTTAGAGAAACTCTATGCGAAGTCAAGAGTGAAAAGCGACAGTATAGTTTGGAGTAAACTTCTCAGTTTTACCTAGATTGGAAGGGATATTTTATGGTTGTAGTACAATGTCACTCACTATCTAAAGTGCTTTCACACTGAATTTATACACAAACTGTATAGAGTCACTAATAAGTTCCAGTGAAGGTTTAACAATCAGTGAAAGAAGGTTTTCCATTGTTTGTTTTTTCTTACAATGAAGACTAACAACCAGTTTCGATGCACAGGAACGATTTTGTTTTTCGTTCATGGATTGTTTTTGAACAGTACTTGAAAAAATGAACAATCTGTGATACAATCTGCTTGTCTACTTAGTCGTCGACTCAGGAATCATTGACAAGCGAAGGCTGGCGTTGTTTGGTAAATATGGAAAAGTAATAAAAATAATGATATGGTATACGAAATGAATGCCTTCACTATTTCTAACTCATTTTATGCATGAATGATTACAAAATGTCCGGAGTCAGACAGCAACAACAACAAGAGTCTGTTATCAGACATTACATGTTTTAGTGAGAAGATAAACACCAAAGAGGAAA